TAATAGGAAGAAAAGTACCAGGGTATTATGATAGCAAAGAGATTTATTAATAATTAACGGCGGTATGTTCTGAAGCATGGTTTCGGATTTGAGAAATCGACCTCATGTCTCAAGGTGGGTCAAACTTCACGAACCTCAGGAACCCCATTTAACACCACGTGGACCGTGCTATTATTATTAATTTATAGGAAGAAAAGTACCAGGGTATTATGATATCAAAGAGATGTATTATTAAAATGCTGTAATAATCTTAGTAGCAAAAAGGTAAAGTGAAATAATTGTATTATTTGTATTCATGTCTATGATAATAAAATCCTTTTGTTTAAACTTTATCTAATTTAACTTTATTTAACCAATTTCTAGAAAGTTGCATGTAGATCATTTTTCGAAAAATAAGGCCATAAACAAGTTTCACTTCTTACGTGTGTACACTAGTACACGCACACATTTTTATTTAAATAGGAACGTACTGTCCATGTAGTGATAAATGAGTACCGGCACATCACGATGTGACTACCGTCAGCCAACTTGGATCGTGAAGTCTACCACCCTACCCTTTCAAATGACATATATATGTCTATAGACTATAGAATTCCAATGAATATTATGTCAATGGATACAATGAAATTTGATATTTGCCCAGATTTGCTGGTGACGACCGACTGTGACACGGTCCTGGTGAACTCCTCGAGCGAACTGGCACTGCTGATCGTCCAGCACACCAAGGCGATAGCCGAGGCGCCGTACAAGTAAGCGTTACCCATAGACACAGCCCACTGAGCTTCTCGCTGGATCTTCTCAGTGGGTCGCGTTTCCGATCCGGTGGTAGATTCTGCGAAGCCCTGCTCTTGCTAGGGTCAGTGTTAGCAACACTCCGGTTTGAGTCCCGTGAGCTCATCTACATGTTAGGGTGAAGCTGAAATAGCCTCTCAAGGCTATCAGCATAGATAGGAAAAAAAAAGTAAGCGTGAACACTGGACGTATGAGAGCGGATTCCGTTGCCAACATTGAAAAATAATATTAAAATAAGATAAATGGCGACCCTTTTTTGTTGCTTAGATGGTTGGACGAGCCCGCAGCCGACCTCATGTTAAGTGGTTACCGGAGCCCGTAGACATCTACAACGTAAATGCCCCACTCTTCCAACCGAAACGCATTACTGCTTCACGGCAGAAATAAGCAAGGTGATGGTATCTACCCGCGCGGACTCACAAGAGGTCCTACCACCAGTAATTACGCAAATTATAATTTTGCGGGTTTCATTTTTATTACACGATGTTATTCCTTCACCGTGGAAGTCAATCGTAAACATTTGTTAAGTACGTATTTAATTAGAAAAATTGGTACCTGCCTGCGGGATTCGAACACCGGTGCACCGCTTCAAAACGAATGCACCGGACGTCTTATCCTTTGAGCCACGACGACGTCAAAATACTATACCTATACTATTTGCTATTTCGGTTGCAGAATGTCGAAGCGCGCTTACGACGAGCAATCCGAATTGTACTTGCGTGGAGAAAACAGGAAATGCGTCACCGTCGACAAACAAGGTACCAATAATAGGGTAGGCAGAAATTATTACTAGTACCAGTGTGTACCACGACCCTGCGCAGTTCCACCACGAAGCAGCCCACAATTGCAGGCGAGACGGCCAATACTACGTCTGTAGGCAGCGGCTTGGCTCTGCCCCTGGCATTGGTAAAAAAATACAACTGATTTCGACCTCATATCTTTTTATTTATTTATTGCTCAGATGTGTGGACGAGCTGACCGCCCACCTGGTATTAAGTAGTTACTGGACTTCATAGACATCTACGACGTAAATGCGCCACCCACCTTGAGATATAAGTTCTAAGATCTCAAGTATAGTTACAACAGCTGCCCGGCCTTTCAAACCGAAACGCATTACTGCTTCACGGCAGAAATAGGCAGGGCGGTGGTACCTACCCGTATCTCAAGGTGGATGGCGGCATTTATCTAATGATGTCTATGGACTCTGATAGACGTCTGACTTCAGGTGAGCCGTGAGTTCGTTGACCGTTTGTGTAATAAATAATTGAAGACGTAAGTGGATGAAGGGGATATGATACGATTTGTTAATTTTGAGAAAACGGGCTACAAAGTTTTGTTACTTTTGCTTTTTTTTCATACATAACTCCTTCATCACATGAAATTTCTAAAAATAGCCTTTAGATCCAGAATTTTAAGGTTTAATATGGCTTACAGACAAAACACCTTCATTCAAAAATCTTATAAATGGTACTTAACCCCTTCATCCACACATGTCTTCAAAAAACAGTCATCTTAACTGGCAAGAAAATATGAATAATTAAGATGTCGTGTTTCAGCTAGAAATTCACATTCAAGTACATTGCAATGTGAATTTTTAATTCCGTTGGTTAGTTCAAACTAAAAATAGCCAATCGAATTTACTTTAATAATCGATTTTTGTTTCAGGCAACGGAGTCAGTCGGCTGTGGCAACAGATGATAGCTGTACTGCCACATTCCAGTTTAGAAACGTCGAGAGCATTGTGCGCTAAATATCCAACTCCGCTTGACCTGTATGAGGTATGTATTTTTTTGTCTAAATTTATTGGACGGGCTTCAGGCCCTTTGGTCTTAAATGGCTACTGGAGTCCATAATCATCACAACGTGAATGTCGATAATACCAAAAACATTCATTCACAATTTAAATATAGTAGTTGAGTTATTTGTTTCATTACACAGAATACGCCCAGATACCGCAAATAATTATAATATTTTTCAGTCCCTTAACTCACCGGATAGTGTTAATGAATTGGCGAACATCGGTGTATCAAGAACCGCTGTCCCGGGTTCAAAGGCGCGTCGCATTGGACCTGAATTTGCCAGGAAATTACACACATTGTTCACAGTCACCGACGGAGATATTTTGTTAGATTGATTTATAAGTATTTATTATTAAATAAATTATTACATAAATTATTACATAAATTACAGCCTTTTAATCGGAATTAAATCGATATACTCGTTGTTTAGGATTTATCACCTAATTTATCACACCCATAGAAACCTGCACTTTTTGCAGTATTTTCTATCCATTACTATCATTTTATATTCTTTACTCGTAAAACCATGAAATTAGTCTGCTGCTAAAATATATTACTGTTTATCATAGATTATACACTTAATATTTGAGACTGTTTATGTAGTAAATGTTTGTGATGTGGCAGTACTCTTTTTTAAATAAATAAATAAGTAGATGGCCAAGGATGCTCTTTTTCCTTGCAAGGATTCCTTTGCATGATGATTTTTAGTAATAAAAAAAGGTTCGATTTTTTGGCGGGAGCGCGAGGAGTTAAGTGCGGGATTGGTTTTATTTTGTCTGTTTAGTGTTTCTTTTGGTTTTAATGCGTAATAACGGTAGTTCACTGCTTATCTGTGCACAAATGTGGGAAAATAAAATAAAACCGCTGAACGGAACGTCTCGGGTTCCTTTTTTCTTTATTGCACGTATAGGCAGACGAGCATACGGCCCACCTGAAGGTGAGTGGTTACCGTCGCCCATGGACTTCAGCAATGCCTGGGGCAGAGCCAAGCCGCTGCTTACCGTTAAATATGTTACTGCCATATACAGGAGCAATGAGAAACTAATCGAAGCGAAGCCGTGCAGTGGCTGACGCCCATAAACATTTTTGTTGAGTGCTTGAGTTGATTATCTAGAACTGTTTATGTATATTATCTATGGTAATTGCTCAGTAGACCGACGCGACGGTCCAAAATCCTCCAAGAAAGTTCACTGAAAAAGTCAGTAAATGACCACCATTTCAGATCAGATTATATTTCATCCCATATCATCTCATCTCATTTCATTTCACTTCATATTTTCATATAAAAAAATGTATATGTATATATATACATATATATGGCCTGGGAAGGAAAACTTGGAGAAATGAAAGAAAAAGTGGAAAATCAAGAAAAAAGAATTTATTACCTGGAAAAACAAACAAGAGTAAGAAACTTAGTATTTTTCGGTATCGAGGAAAACGAAACATCATACAAGAGTTTCGAAGAAAATATAATTAAATGGATTGAGCAATATTTCTCTATCAAACTGACCTACAGAGACATTCAGGAGATAAAAAGACTGGGAAAGAAACAAGAGAGACCACGTCCAACTGTTGTAACTTTCACTACACTAGGAATAAAAATCGAAATATTTAAACAAAAAAGAGCGCTGAAAGATACACAGTACTATATGAAAGAAGACTTTCCCAAATATGTACTTGACGAAAGAAAGGCACTACAGGAACAACTGAAATTAGAGAGAGAAAAGGGAAATACAGCTATACTCAAATATGATAAACTAATTGTATCAAAATACCAAAGTAAAAGAAAATACCGGTCATCTCCAGACAATACCTCACAAATCAATATGGACAAGCATACTCAGGCTAGTAAAAAAAACAAGATAAAACAGATTGGCAAAACAGTCACTAGGTCAAATAGTATCACAGAAGGAGTCACAAAACCTAGCATGCTCAACTTCTTGGTCAACAAAAATACAATGAAAACTAACAACAACCAAGAAAGTAACAGCGAGAATATATAGCAACTAAGCCCCTCCAACCACAAAAATGCCACAATTTTACAAAATAACATATAAAAAATAAAAATAAAAATCTTCCAACCCGGTTGGTCACCGTGGAAGAATACGACCAAAACCCTCCAATGAAGTCATCAATAGAGAAAAAAAATACCATAGATAAATATAAACTAAGGAATATGGGCATCACTGGAGGAGGCCTTCACCCAATCTGGGGTTCCGGTAGATTAAATAACTACATAATATTAAGTAAACATAACTATATAATATTAACTAAACATACTAATTATATTAAGTAAGTGATAAAAACTATATTAAAAATTATGTAATATTTAAATCCTCTAATTAAAAAAAAAAAAAAACTAACACATAGATAGATTTTAAGTTATGTAAATTTACCAGAAATAAAAAGGCTTTATTATTTATTATTATTATTATACATATATATATATATATATAAATATAAAAGATTAGGCTGCATGGATGACATTTTTGCCTTTCCATTTGGAAAAATAAAATTACTACTCAAAATTCGGGTTCGACGTCGACGTCAACGTCAAAAATTTTAGTTTTCAATTAATTTTGAAGTCAAAAGTGAGTCAAAGCAGTAAACTTAACAATAACCTCACTTTTATGTAACATTTAAAAATAATTGTATAAATCGACATTTCTACATTTTGAAAAACGTTAGGAACGGAACAAAATGTCCGTATACCTATCGAGAATGTTAAAAACTGCGATACGCGGTAGGGTCGCTTGTGTTTTGCCTACCGGTGCGATTTCTCCCAAACAGCAATTTATATCAATAAAAAGCGTATATATACCAGTTTTAAATCAATTATCGCGTAGGTTTCGCTCTAGTGATGCTATACAGCCGACTGCGGCTTTAGAAAATGCCAGTATTCCTTTGAAAAAGAAGATAGTGCATAAAAAATCTATCGCCGAGAATTTGAGTCAGAAAGAAGGACATTTTTTAACTCTCGCGTATGCGACTGCCAATTCCTACGACCTCAAAGCTCTGAAGGAGGCATTGGTAGAGCAGAAGCTGTACGAACCCGGAAAGTAAGGGTTTGTTTGTATTTTTAAATCAAATATATGATGCAATAGTGTGTAAATGTCTTTGAAATAAACTTGTGACATAATAACAGAAAGATAAGACGTTTTTAAAAATAGTACATATTATATCCTCATCCTAATTATATCCTTAATATAATTTTTTTAATTATGCAATTTCAGTTCTCAGTCACAGATTAAAAATCCTCTTCTACCACCTGCTTTCATTTTGAATGCATATGTTCATCCTGATGTCAGCACAGCTCACAGACATGAGGAAGCATGCAATATTAACTATCAATATATAAAAAAAAAAGATCATTATAGGAACACAGACATTACCATATCTGATGGGCTGTGAGCTATCAAAGCAGTGGAATGAAAAAAAAATTGATGTCTTGTAGCTAGTGTATTTGTCGAAGAACACACTTCAGGAACTTAATTATCTATGTTTTGGAAGACATCTTGAAATTTTAGCTGCTACTATACATATATTGTAAAAAAAGAATAAGCTTATAATGACATAACATTTGCAGGAAATTGCTTAATTTATTTAATAACTTTTATTCTATTAATTTGTAATAGTAAAATTTTAACCTAATTCAACTTTTTCAGCTTAAAAACAGTAGAAATAGGTAATGTGGTCGTAGCCAATGCGGTTTACAATATTGGCTCTGAACAGAGAGAGATATTTTTCTTCAAGGAAGGAGCCGTAGTGTTCTGGAACTGTTCCGAGCTGGAAGCCAGTAATGTCCTTGAGTTTGTTAAGCCGTGAGTCCATTTGTTTTTATTATCATAATACATATTAGGGTTTAACTTAAGATTGATTGATAAGAAAACTATTGTAGATAATTACTAAATATACAGGGTGTCTCAGGTGGTAATAGCAACCTGGCATGGAGGGAAAGATTCTCTGATGAGCCAGTAAAAATCAGTGTTTTATACGCAGTGATACTCCGGAGCCGAATTTTCGACATCTAAAATTTAAATTTTTTGTAAGTTTTAGTGTGTTTTGGCCTCGCTAGAAGCTAAACTAGTTGTTGCCTAGTCAAATCAGAAACAAATGTTTTAAAAAAAAGTAACTATAATCAATAAATGTACTCTAAGCTTTATTAAAAGATGATCAATAGAATTTATCAATAGATATGATAATTTGTTTGTGAATTCCTTCGACCACAAGACCACAAGATATAATTATAAAATCTTGTGAAGACTATAAAACATAAATAAATTTAAAACATATATTGTAAATATATTTTTGTCTTATAATAAAAAAAATGTTCCAGTATTTATTAATTCTTTTCAGCTATGAACTTGAGAGCTATCCACGGGAAGTCATTGAGAAGGAAAGAGAAATAATGACATATATCTACCAACCTAATTCGTAAGTACACATTTTCTTGCTTCTATCCATACTATTACTATATTTGAGTCGTCTATTATCAAAGGCGGCAATCTGTACATTTGGACAAAAAAAATTTATTGATATGTCAATACAGATTTATTTGAATATAATCGTCTCCTTCAAAGAATACGGTTCAAAACCTGCATTAAATAAAGGTTAATAGTTAACCTGTTATTTATCTAAGATGTCGTTCCGAAGAGTTTTGTGACTGCCAATGGAATACAAAGTCAATAATTCGTTTTTCTGATTTACCAATCATTGTCCAAAAGTCAGATTGCCGCCTTTGATAATAGTCGACTCATTTACTATATTACTTTATCTCGAATAGTCCTACATAAAAGCCCTTGACAGCATATATCTATCTTTTATTTGTAAGCTGTTATCACCAAAATAGTGAATATAAGAAGAGGAAAGATTCGATTTTTGTTTGTAACATTCTGTTTCTATTGTGTTTGTATTTGTCAAGACCAGATTTGTATAAAAGAATATTCAATAAGGTCAATAATACATTACAGTTCCTGAAGTAAAGCGAGGGCAGATCGCTAGTAACCCATATAAAAGATTTTAAACATTATTTAGTGACCCATATAAAAGAGTTATATAGTAAACATAATTTATTTATATATTAATTTAGTTTAAAATTAATCACATATTGATAAAATATTATTAAAAAAATAACAGTATAAAAAAACAGTAATATTATACTTATAAAATGTTAATGTTTAGTACAACATATAATTGAGGCCTATAAAATCAAAGGCAGCTAAATCAAAGTCTGTCAAATATTCAGGTAAACTACGAAAATCGGCCCTAAACACGTCATTACGGATCCTCCCGATCCATCGAAGTACTAGCTCTTGCTAGGGCCAGTGTTAGCAACACTCCCGGTTTGAGAAGCTGAAATAACTTCGGATAGCTACTATATTCTTTATTTTAAAGCAGATTGATAAAGAATGAGAATATTACTAAAAATCTGAATTTTAAATGATAAATGATAAAACTTCGTTTATTAGTACTTAGTACAGAGTAAACTTAGTAAGAGTTACGGTAGGCAGCGGCTTGGCTCTGCCCCTGGCATTACTGAAGTCCATGGGCGATGGTAACCACTCACCATCAGGTGGGCCGTATGCCCGTCTGCCTACAAAGGCAATAAAAAATAAAAATAAAGTAAAAATAAAATTTTTGAACTGAATTTGTTAGAGATTTAACTGCATTTGTTATAACATGAAAATACTAAAGCGTGTCCAACTACCTAAAAAAGATAGCGCCATTGTTAATCTATTTTACTACATTAAGGCGTTTAGCTGCCTTTGATTTTATAGGCCTCAATTATAATTAATAATAGTACATAAATAAATAAGTTAATAGTAGTAGAGAAGAAAAATAATTTTAAATTCATTTTTCTAAATGTACAAGGTTTCTAAAGTTTCTAAATATCTAAGAAATATTTAGCTTGCCTGCTATTTATCAGCCTTTGTTTTTCACAGAAAAAAATGTCACCTCCAAGAGTCGTGCTTCATAATGGTGCCAGAGAGAGATAATTCCTTAGAAAGGTTTGCTTTCAGGTGAGGTTCTTTAAGAACAATATCAATAATAATTAAAGCTGCCGTGGCCTAAAGGATAAGACGGCCGGCACATTCATATCGAGCGATGCAACTGTGCCGGTGTTGATTACTTGGTGACCACTAAATATCAGGTGAACTGTGAGCTCTTCCACCCACCTTAGTTGAAGCGCAATAATAACAAATGCCCCTACACAATATACAGAGAACTGTTTTCCGCAATCATTGACTTGTTAAATGCTCTCGTAATAAGTCCATAATAGTCGCCCTGGGTGGTCCAGGGATGGTGGCTAGTCATGCTGCTGAGACACGGGTCCGCGATCGTTTCTCGATCAGAGCATCTCATCTATACCCCCGGAATTTTGTCTCGCGTGTTATTTTTTATTGCTTAGGTGGGTGGACGAGCTCACGGCCCACCTGGTGTTAAGCGGTTACCGGAGCCCATAGACATCTACAACGTAAATGCCGCCACCTACCTTGAGATACAAGTTCTAAGGTCTCAAGTGAGTCGTCTATTATCAAAGGTGGCAATCTGTGCATTTGGACAAAACATTTTTATTGATATGTCAATACAGATTTATTTGAATATAATCGTCTCCTTCAAAGAATACGGTTCAAAACCTGCATTCTTCTTTTTTCTCCATCGCTCCCTCATTGCTGAGGATCGTGACTCCGTTTTAGCTTGTCTACTTAATAAAACCTGCATTAAATAAAGGTTAATAGTTAACCTGTTATTTATCTAAGATGTCGTTCCGAAGAGTTTTGTGACTGCCGATGGAATACAAAGTCAATAATTCGTTTTTCTGATTTACCAATCATTGTCCAAAAGTCAGATTGCCGCCTTTGATAATAGTCGACTCAAGTATAGTTACAACGGCTGCCCCACCCTTCAAACCGAAACGCATTACTGCTTCATGGCAGAAATAGGCAGGGTGGTGGTACCCACCCGTGCGGGCTCACAAGAGGTCCTACCACCGGTGAAATGTGCAGCGGGTTGGTTGTTGCAGCCACGCTATGGCGCAGTCTGCCCGGCTGGGCGCGTGGGAGGCGCGGCTGGAGTGGCTGGCGGCCGCCGTGCGCTACCACACCGCCTCCATGGAGCGGGAGGGCGCCGCGCACGTCGACAAGAAGGAGGTACTGTGCTCAGTTTTTTTTTTTTTTTAAGGAATTATATGACATGGTAACTAAGACCTTTAGGTTAAGTCTTATTTTAATGTCTTATTTTAATTCATACTCAGACTTCGTAGTACCTCAATTGATAAGTAGAAGACCTAAACTTTTGTATAAAATAAATTTAAAACAAACAAAAGGAATCCGTCCGACGGGGGGCACATCAAAGGATAAACAAAATTGTTATTTTTATTTAATTCCGAGCATTTTCATTATATCTACCTTTTAAATCTTCTCTGGATTTCCACAAATAATTCAAGACCAAAATTAGCCAAATCGGTCCAGCCGTTCTCGAGTTTTAGCGAGACTAACGAACAGCAATTAATTTTTATATATATCGATTTCAATTCCTATGAAACAAGATAATATTGAGTGAAATGAAATGAAGATGATTAATTTGAAACATTAATCAAGAAATGAAATGAAATGATATGGGATGAAATTCATTCTCAGTAAAATGGTGATCATTTACTGAGATTTTTTCAGTGGACTTTTTGGAGGATCCCGAGAAGTGACGTCCAGCGGCTTTGTTTAATTTTTCCACATTTATGCACTTTCACAGATATTAAACAGTTAATAAACCACCGTTATTACACGTTTAATCCTGAAGAAACACTAAATAAACAAATTTTGTCTGTCCCGCCAAAAAGTCTTGTGTTGGGATCATGAGCTATAATGTTGCCATGTCAGGGTATTTTAATAATTCGAAATATGGGCGTCGATTCCCTGACATAGACCTATTATTTTATTGTTTTTCTTCACCTTATCCCACTAGGTGGGGTCGGCACAGCTAATTTTTCTTTTTCATTCTCTTCTATCAGCCGTCAGCTCAACACTCCATCCATGTCTTCTTCAATCGACCTTGCACTACCATTTCCTTACATCTCCTAGTCACATGCATCTTCTCTCTACACATCACATGTCCATACCACGCTAATCATGACATGGATAGTCCATGTCATTATGTCATGGTTCACGATAGGTTAATGTCTCAAAAATGTTCCAATTCAACAAATTATTGCGACTATTTGATTTCACTACAGAGGCCCATATCGGTTTGCTCGGCTGGTCATTAGTGGATACTGGAGCCTGACAACATCACGCCATCCAAACCGAAGGCGTGCACGTTGTGCGCGCGCCCGTAATGTCTCTACCGACACTCTGCAGGTCGTCCGTAAGCTCGGCGAGCTGTTCTCCCTCCGGCATCGCCTGAACGTGGAATCCGACATGCTGGACACTCCGGATTTCTACTGGGAAGAGGAACAACTGGAGCGACTGTACTCCAACACCTTGGCCTACTTCACCATACCGAGGAGGACGAGGGTGAGTACCAGTGGCGCCACCAGCAGGCGCCACCATCCGGGTACAGCACGAGGATATCTGCTGCACCCAAATCAAACCCGCAAAATTACAATTTGCGTAATTACTGATGGTAGGACCTCTTGTGAGTCCGCTCGGGTGGGTACCACCACCCTGCCTATTTCTGCCGTGAATCAGTAATGCTTTTCGGTTTGAAGGGTGGGGCATCCGTTGTAACAACTGCTACATTGGGTTATTCAAGAAAAGAACATATTCTTACCTGAAGGGTAGGCAACGCACTGGCGTAAACGCTGGTGACCGTGGGCGGCGGTGATTCACTTACCATCAGGTGACCCGTCTTGCTCGTTTGCCTCTCGTTGTTATAAAAAAAAAAAAAAAAAACTATACTGAGACCTTAGAACTTAATCTCAAGGTGGGTGGTGCATTTACGTTGTGGATGTCTATGGGCTCCAGTAACCACTTATCACCAGGTGGGCTGTGAGTGTCACGTGGGTGTCGGCGCTCACGTTACGATGGCCCTATCTGCTCGGCTAATTCTTTTGTTCATTCTACTCAGGTTCTAAATGAGAGATTGAGTCACTGCGTGGAACTCCTAGAGCTGTTGTCGTCGTGGGCAGCCGACCGGCACCACATCCGCCTGGAGTGGATGATCATAGTCCTCATTCTGGCCGAAGTCTGCTTTGAACTGCTGCACATCTTCGAGCGGTACGTTGACAGGGTGGGGGCCGGTGGGGAGGACATCGCGTAGAGTAACTGCTTTGTACAAAGCTCTGATGGGGTTGCCAGCAAATGATACCTATGTTTATTGTCCTTGGAATTATTTTTGTTAGATACATAGGAACTAGTAGAAACACACAAAACGAAATGTAAAATTAAAATATATGCTGAATTATAAAAAAAATGATAAAACTGAACTGAAAAAAAAACCAAATAATTTTTGATGCTGACAAGACAATCTGTCTTTAGTAGCAAATAGAAAATGAGTTGAGAGAAAGTGTTGTTGTCTCTCTCTTGTAAATGTGATATTCGAAGAAGGACAGAGACAGATATAGATTCAACGCTGCAAACTATAATAGTTTTGTCAGAATTTTTGCTATGTACTATTAAAATATGTATTGCTAATTTGTATTACTTTATGTTTGCGTATCTGTCAAGTAAAGTTAGAAATATGTTATATTTTGTTGTATGTATGCTTATTATTGTATTTTTGTTATTAGTTCTTATTATTTACAGTAATAATGGCTATGTCGTTCAATTGTAGAGCAACGCACACGCACACACATACGCACGCACACACGCACACACACACGCACACACACACGCACACACACACGCACACACACACGCACACACACACGCACACACACACGCACACACACACGCACACACACGCACGCACAGGCACATACTACACATAATTAATAAGATACACACACAAACCCACACAATAATTGTTTGGAAAGTTCCTGTTAGTGAATGGGTTAAGCGCATTTATTTTAATTTAATGGGATTGCATGTTTTATGTATGCATTTTTTAGTACATATTTTTATTATATACTCATAGAAAAGGTTATATAATAATAATAATAATAATAATAGATTAAGTATAACTGAATTACAAGTGCCTTTAAGTATGCATAACTTTACCACCGACATCCAAATATATAAACACGGGACACATAAATTTTGCAAATAATTATTTATTCATTATGTGCAAATACTAAGGATGAGTTATATTTTGATGTTATCTGATATTTTGCTTCTAGTAACAAGTTGCTAATAGTTTTTCTTTTATTTTCGATTCTGGATATTTTATTTTGTTATTACTATTTTACTTTTAGTAGCTTCTTAGTTCTGTATTTAGATATACATATTTATACAACATACATACATATCATATATACACATAATATATTTTCGACGGATATTAGGTACTTTTAATTAATAAATGTTATGTTTTTATTTTAACTGTTTTTTTTCATTTTTGTTTAAAATACAATAATTATCAGTATCATTTAAGAACACAAAATAAACTTGACAGCTTTGTCAGATCGAATTTAAAAATTAATTAAAAAGCTTGCGTGTCAGTTCTGACGCGCGACTGGTGTTAAAACATTGCGATTTTTATATATTCATGATTTTAATATAAATAATGTATTGTGAATGAAATATAATAATTGTTGGAATTCACCAACCAATCCTCGTGGTCTCATTCACGTTAATAACTAGCTATTCCTGTTATAAATCGTGTCTTCCAAACTGATAGAGGTCGGTGGCTTCCTTAACGACTTTTTAGGGGATTAGATTTAGGAGATAGATGGTATATCACAGTACTGATCTCTGGATATGTACTGTGGATTGACGTAGCGGCTCTGGGGAGGTAGACGAGGTCCATTCCGGTGGGGGAGGGGGTGGGGAAAAGGTATGACGGGATTTCGAAACGCCAGCCTCCGTAGACCCTGAGGAATTATACGTGCAGTGTGGCGTTATTGCTAAGCTTACTAAGATGTTCGGCCGTATTACGTCGGGCCGTATTTCGGGCGCCGAAAAGATAAAGATAAAATATAAGATAAAAAAATCGGTTGTCTGTAAAGTCGGTTTACTGACGATAGTTGAACGTGACAACGTCATCAGAAAATATTGATGGAATGGTTTCATTTTTCAATTATAGCAATTATCGTTGCTATAAACAATTGACACCACATTCACTTTTCACTGAACTTCATACTTGACGAAAACATGTAAATGTATTATTGTATAGCAGCTGTCCACGCAGGTGCATCGCTCACATCGCCTCAGAGCGAGGTAACGCCGCATGAGTCATGTTTTTTCGTGCGTGCAGCCGGCTCCATCGAATTATAAGACGTTGTCACGTCAAAACTTAAAGCTAATAACATGACATTTTGAATATTATACAAAAAATCTTGCTTAAAATCGTTGTCTTGGTATAGGCGAGAGCATGATTTGTTTAACAGTACTGTTTATTTATTTTCGCGTATACATGTTCCTTTGACCGATAATTCATCGTTGGCCATTATACGCGATCGCTATTGTCTCGGACACTTCGTCTTTTCGCCTTAAAAGTGTACAATTTCCAAAAATATTCGAAATTGAGTCAACATGCGGAATCATTTGGTATCACCAGTATTTTTCTCATAAATACTGCCAAAAGAGCGTAGTTTAGTTAAAGTATTTTTTTTTTATAGTTTACCTTTGTTTTGACGATTATTAATAAAATTAATACATAATTTTATCTTACTTTAAAAGACAAATAATGTAACTGGTAAAAAACAAAAAAAATAATGTTGCAGAGATGATTAATATTTAAAAAGACCACATGCTAAACCTTTGAAACAGTCTCCTGTAAAATTTGTTAGTTTTGAGATTACTAGTGGTCCCGCAGTAGTCGAAAATCGACTATAATTAATTGAACTTATAAGTTTCAACATTATTATGGTCCTATTGTTACAGATTTCGCCAAGACTACACTACAGACAAATTCTCGTAATATTAAAGATAAATAATACTAACGTATTCTCAATTTGACTACAGACTTTAAGTAATAACAAAAGTTTGACAATAAACAAAGAGTATATGTGTGTGTGTCAAATACATGGTAGTGTGTGTAATGTTTTCTTTATTGATTTATAATGTATCTTTTGTGTATTATTTTAAAAAATATTAGCATTGTGCACTTCTTCTCTATATTCTCTATAAGTGTAGAAAATTTCATACTCCTCCGTCCGCGCAATTTTCGTAAAAAGTGTACAAAGTTTTTGCTTCACGTATTAATATATAGATACAGTTTTAATGCGAGAAGACGACTTGTTATGTTTGGAACCGAACTTTCACTGATTGTGGCGACACTAGGCTGTTCCTCAGCCTTGGCGATTGTAGCCCAGTACAAGTAATTCCCGTCTACTTAATCATAATGGTCCACAGGAACAGCTTTCGCTTGGACCGGCGCCGGCCGAGCCCTGAGCGGCGCCCGCTGTTCAGTTCGGACCTGGAGGAGAGCATCGTGCAGGAGATATCAATCATCGACTCGTAGACACGGGCACTGCGGACGGGTGCTCACGAGATGGATCCGGTTTGAAGAGTAGGATCCTTAATCCGATGCGATCGAAACTTCATGTTAATATCAAGTTTACGATATCAATGGGTCGTGAACTGGACTGACTGAGGTTCTAAAGTTGTTGAAACTAGGAGATCATGCGTCCTCTTCTAACGTTCGCATTAGAAGGAGATGGCGTACATTGAAACGTTCTACCGTGCTGCGTGTGGCAGAGCCTACAGCTTCCAACTTGATAACCTAACTAAAAGGCCTATAGTCGCCCCTGGACTTCAGCAATGCAGCGCACTCGTGTCGCTTACTGGTGCTGTGGACTTTTTAGGGAATTTCACAGGTGGTCTTTAGTGTTTATATTCCTACTTATGCGGGTTTGTAAAGTGTTCCATGACCGCATGGTTGCGTGTCCGCTGTGAGGTCTATGGACTCCTGTATCGCTCCTGGTTGGGGTGCAGTGCATCATTGACCCTCTACACCAGGAAACCATAGACGCGAATTATTTGAAGATAAAATTAATACCTAATTAGTATTTATTTAGTTAGACATGATAAGTTTTGTAAAATATTATAGTAAAGTTATGACAAATACGTATTAAATTGAATTTTATTCGCTTGTATTGAAGGCGAGGCCTTTCCCAAGGATGTGTCAGTTTGTAGTAATTGAGGGTAGGTCACGTGGGGGTGAGCGCTGGTTGGGGACACACCCCTATTCTGCTTGTATAAGCCCTGAAGCAGTGGGTCGCTTTTTCGAAGAGTCTGACGGCTCACAGTACAGCTGCAACAGTGACCTCACGCCTCAAGGCAGCGTGCAAGTTGTGCTGAAGCTCCGGTAATCAGCTATGCCGGGTAGTAATATCAATCTGATGCACAATTGCTCTAGTTTTTTTAATGGCTTAAATGAGTGGACGAGCTCACGGCCCACCTGGTGTTAAGTGGTTACCGAAGCCCATAGACATCTACAACGTAAATGCCGCCACCTTACATGAGATATGAGTTCTTAGATCTCAGTTTTAACAGTACAACGGCTGCCCCATCCTTCAAACCGCAAACGCCTGGTTGTTGCCGGGGAGAAATTAAACATGCCGTTATTACCCTCTATAGGACATAATGATCTGGGAAATTACACAAAAAAGATTAAGATATCATTTAAATTGTGTTTTCAACAAGGAAGGAATGAAATAAATACATACATACTATTTGTTATTATTTATTTTTTATGACTCATCAATGTTGCCAGCCTAAAAAAATGAATTATCTAATACGGAAGCGTTCAGAAATATTAATCTGCAAAAAAACTGGTGTAAAAATCATCACTTTGTTTTACAAAGGTTTAAAAATACGATTCACCTATACAGGTAACTTAAACGGTAGGCAGCGGCTTGGCTCTGCCCCTGGCATTGCTTAAATCCATGGGCGACGGTAACCACTCACCATCAGGGCCGTATGGTCGTCTGCCCACAATGGCAATAAAAAAAAACGCACAGGACAGAGTAACTATTTTATGGTATCTGCTTTGAGGCGGTCACTGGACACTTCGCTACAGGAGCGCATCGTGAGCTTATCTGAATATCTAACCAGCAGATACTCTATAGAAGTAGCTGAGGTCATGCAGCATGTACTCTGTGAATGGGACCGTCCAGTAAAGAGCGTGGACATGGGAACGGATACCCACATCAAAGTTTACTGTTTTCTATCATCTAATGCTATAGCTAAATTCATTTTTATGCTTGGGCGAGTTTTTTAACCGTCTCGATATCGAAAAAGCAATTTTTATTATTATTATTTTTCCTACCTATGCTGATAGCCTTGAGAGGCTATTTCAGCTTCGCTCGAATATGTAGGTGAATTCACGGGGCTCAGACCGGAGTGTTGCTAACACTGGCCCTAGCAAGAGCCGTGCTTCGCAGAATCTACCATCGGATCGGACCCACTGAGAAGATCCGGCGAGAAACTCAGTGGGCTGTGTCTATGGGTTAATTCGCTTAATAATAAGGAAAGTAACCGGTGCTTGTGGTACCTAAAACCACCGTTAATGGAATGGAAAAAGCTAACTCACATTTGTATGCAGTAGTTTCCCTTTCTTTGCTGCTAGGGGCGCTGTTCTAACTCCATACAGTTAACTTTTACTCTATCGAGAAGTTAACTCGCTCTATGCACACAGGGCTATAGCACAAAAGATTCATGCGTCAGGGGAATATGAGTTCGTGTGTCTCATTAAAACGTATTTATTATTCATGAACTGGTTCGCCAATAAAAGCATGAGTACAGCGGGCTCGTGGGTCGTGACGTGGGTACCGTCGTGACGCCGGAACACGCCGGTAGCCTGTCGACTCGATGGTTCCTGCGTTTGATACGTTTATGTTTATGTTTCTTTTTTATTTTTTTTATTGCGTTGATGGGTGAACGAGCTCACAGCCTACCTGGTGTTAAGTGGTTACTGGAGCCCATAGACATTTACAACGTAAATGCACCACCCACCTTGAGACATAAGTTCTAAGGTCTCAGTATAGTTACAACGGCTGTCCCGCCCTTCAAACCGAAACGCATTAATGCTTCACAGCAGAAATAGGCTGGGCGGTGGTACCTACCCGTGCGGACTCACAAGAGGTCCTACCACCAACTAAACGAGGCTATTTCAGCTTCGCCCTAACATATAGAGCTCACGGGGTTCAAACCGGAGTGTTGTTAACACTGGACCTAGCAAGAGTCGTGCTTCGCAGAATCTACCACCGGATCGGAAAGGCGACCCACTGAGAAGATCCGGCGACAAACTCAAAGGACTGTGTCTATGGGCTAATTCGCTCGTCGAGTCCTTCGTCGTAAGCGACAGGTTCGACGAGGACGGTGACCAGGCTTCGTTGTACAATGTTATTCCCACTATGGAAAGCACGGTTTCGGTTTCTCGGTGGATACAGGGAAGATGGTATTATTTACTAGTGTATCTCACAACACTCCCCAGTTCTGCAGCCCTAATTTCTAGAACCTCTCTTGTAAAGAATCTCTCTTGCAAATGCAAAACTGACATTGATTTAAAAAATTCGATACTTCATACGTGCGTTCACAGAAAAGAAATTAAAATGAATTGTTAAAAGCCTATTAAAGTGTGCGCTTGTCTGTGACGTCACACGACCCTTTGCGCATGCGGACCCCGAACCCACGGCTTGCGAGTTCGCACCAGTCAGCTGTCAATCGTGTTCACAGACCTTTGTGTTTAGAAAATCACAGCACAAATCTGTGAACATTTGAGCCTAGTTGAGCCCCACATCAGCGATTGACCGTTAAATGTCGTGATATCATGATTAGTGAGCATTATGATTTTATTAGATGTTGTTAGTTTTAAAATTATCGTGAATTGAAACATATATTAGGTTTGTGTATAGTGAAAAACTATTTTGTGCGAGTTTAGATCTGGTGGAATCACGGTGAGTGTTTTAGGTTTTAAGATACTAACGCTGTTCTAAATATGTGTGCTATAATTTGGATATAGCCTAAGGATACTAAGGTTACATATGTTTCTCGTTATGTTAAGACAAAAATATATTGAGAAAGGTTTGAAACTTTTACAAAAGCGCTAAAGTTTCGATCTCTTTGAGAAATTAGTGAAGATCGTTCTTTTTGCTAATGGGGTAATGAGAATATTTAAAACTAGCTATACCCGTCCGCTTCGCTGGGCATTTAAAATTAACATTATTATTTCTCACCCCCGCAAATATTCTCATCATTAACGCCCCCGCAACTGATGTAGGGAGTCCAACACTCATATAAATATTAGCCATTATATACATGTATTTTCTACATGGATACCAAGTTTCAAGTCAATCGGAGGCACGGTTCAGTAGTTATAACGGAACATCCGTAAAAACCACTGTAGATTTATATATTAGTATAGATTTAGAGCGACCTCATTGCTAAATTAAGTAGACAGTAGGAGAAGGAATATGGCAGGAAATTTACCACGTTTCCTGATCAGCATGACGAGTTCTTCTTTAATGCGCTTTGAGGAGTCTTTAGCGGCACGCAGTCAAGTTACAGGTATTGCTGACGTCAATTCACAACTGAAGATATGACTCCTCATCGTCTGGTGCAGTATTTGGCGCTTCTGGCTGCTGGGTCGATTCTCACTTGGGCTAAACATTCGCGCGACTGTATTTCCCATAGGACAGGGAATCTTAGTCTGGGATAAAATTATGACCTTATATGTTTTATTCTGATGTTAGGACACACTTCATAAAATCATAAGTCAAATTATGTTATAATGTGTAGAAATGGGAGGGATCTTGTATTCAAGGCCAAGACGGTAAAAAATATGATAAAATATGGTAAAATATTTTAACGGTGGGTAGCGGCTTGGCTCTGCTCCTGGCATTGCTGAAGTCCATGGGCGACGGTAACCACTTACCACCAGGTGGGCCGTACGCTCGTCTGCCTGCAAGGGCAATAAAAAGTTAATAAATATGAAAATGATTGAAGCTTTTATCTCTGTTTTGTTATGCACTTGGCATGTCTTTTAACTCACTGAGTTTCTCGCCGGATCTATTCAGTGGATCGCGATTCCGATTCGGTGGTAGATTCTGCGAAGTACTGCTCTTGCTAGGGCTAATGTTAGCAAATTCTCTCAGGTTGAGCCCGTGAGCTCACTTATCAGATAGTGTGTAGTTGGAAAAGCTCTTTAGACTATCAGCGAATAGGTAGGAGGAAAAATCATGCGAGGACATGATTAGCAGTCGTAGGACATATTTTGATTAATTACAAACCCTAACTGGTCTATCCTGACGTATTTTATCAATAACTATTCACGGTTTGAACTGTATCCACGTGGCAGAACTTACACTACGATGCATACCGTCGAAGCGGTCCGTGGGCTCGTTGTCCAAAAAAGCGTAGTAAAAAAAAAACCCAAAAATCGCATTCACAGACAGTTAAAAATAGTCAAAATTACAAGAAACGTCCCGACAAACCCTCGACCCCCGCGCGGATATAGTTAAAATGATTAACAATGGGATAAAAGCTACAAAAAGTATTTAGAGTTTACTACCTGCGAACTTGACGTCGGAATGGTTGAGCGGTATTTAATAGAGTGGTTCCGTACTTTAATATAATTCACTTCCGAATGTATTTCTAAGAGCCCTAAAAGACATACATTAAGAAACAAAAGAAGGCAAAGTTAAGCAATTCCGGCGCCTTCATCATCATCATCATCATCATTCCTTCCTATTACCCTCTGCTGGGGTGTAGGGCTCGAATCATTTTTTTCCATTTACATCGGTCTTGGGCAGTCTGTTCTAGCTCCTCCTCCACCTGATATTAAGTGGTTACTGGAGCCCATAGACATCTACATCGTAAATGCGCCACCCACCTTGAGATATAAGTTTTAAAGTCTCAGTATAGTTACAACGGCTGCCCCACCCCTCAAACCGAAACGCATTACTACTTCATGTCATGCCCAAGACCCCTAGCTCCTGCTCCACCGAGCGACGCCAAGTTGTTCTGGGGCGGCATCTCTTCCTCTTGCCAGACACTTTCCGAGTCAGTGCTCTCTTTGATAGGTGGGTATCGGGCTTTCTCAAAATGTGACCAATCCAATGCCACTTCCGCGTAAGGATCTCCTTCTCCATTGGCGCCTTAGTAACAGAAATCGATATAATTACTTCAGTGCGC